ACCTGCCACCATTCACCGTTGACAACACCAATGCCACATAGTCATATTTAACAAAGCTGCCAGGGTGGAGGGAGTAGGGAGGGGAGGGGAGGGGTCACCACTGCAGAGATGGGCAGCTGCTAGGGGTAGGCGGGCTAGGTGATACAGGGTGAGCACAGGGGGCTGGGTGTTGGGTTGGGTGGGGAAGGGATGTGGGTGCAGCCAGATGGAGAGGTGGGAAGGCAGATGGATGAAAGAATGTGGGGGGTGTGGCGACAGATATAGGGGTGCCTCCTTGGGTGAAGTGGGTGGATGGAGGGGGTTTGGGAGGGTGGAAGGGTGGGTTGACAAACAGATGGCTGAGTTCATAAGTAGACAGGTAGACAGATGGTGGGTAAATAAATGGGTGTGTGAGCCCAGGGACTGGCAAATAGGCAAGTGAGTGGCTGGGTGGATGGATGGGTAGGTGATTGGGTGGAGGGATGGACAAGTGGACCAGTGAGTGGCTGGAGGATCAGGTTAACTGGCGCTGAAGAACAGAGCAGAGTGGAGGTGAAGATGGTGGGTGCATCGGTGAGTAGCGAGTGAACCGCATGGCAGACAGGTGATTGGATGAGGCTGACCAAGGGTCAGTGGGAGATGATGGACAGGTGGCTAGATGGGGTGGGGGCCAGGGAAGACACAGACAGAGAAGGAGGTGCAGGAGGAAAGCAGGGGATCTCACCTCTTCTTCAGGAGGCCACTGAAATCCAGCTCCCCTGCATCTTCTGACTTCCCTTCACCCCTGCGGCCATTGAGAGGGGGTGTGAATCCCACTGAGGTGCATCCTGGAGTCCCCACCCCATACCCCAAAGGGGAGAGACTCCCCTGATCCTCAGCCCCAGGAAACCCTCTGTTCCCGGGGCCCAGTCACTCACGTGCGCTTGAAAGTTTCCAGGTTCTGCCCAGAGGCGTCCTGACGGGGTGCTGGGGACAGGGGCCGGAGGGAAAGTGAACTGGCTGAAGCCGGGCTTCAGACCCAGAGCTTCTGCCCGCCCTCTGCCTCCCTAAGGCCACCAGCCTCCTCCTGCACTGCAGCGCCCCCACCTGAACCAGAGGATTCTCCTCAGGCCCTGGCAACTTCAGTCAGTCCTATCCACTTCCGCATTTAAGCCCCTACATTCTGGGCTCAACCCCTGGAGACGATGCACCCCCAAACGCACATCCTTCCTGTCCATCCTGAACAGCTTCACCCATAACCTGTGTGTCCCCAGTCTTGGAACCTGGACAGCCTCTTTGCCCAGGTCTGTCCTGCTTCCTCAGAGCTGGGATCCCCCGCCTTGTCAGCCTTCACATGACTCTGAACACTTTCCCCAAGACTTGGACCCACCTCACCACACCCTCCTGTTCCTGGTGGGGACATCCGTCCCCCACCCCCAGACCCATGAACCTCTAACTCCTCTGTCCCCACCAGCGCACCCTCCACGTCGATATTGAAGCCACAGCTGTCGCAGGCGTCCTTGGCTTTGATCTCCAGGCGGTAATCCCCCCTGTCTCCCAGGACCACCTTCCCGATGTGCAGCTCCACGGTGTACACCTGGGGACAACCGGGTGGGGATGCTCATGAGACCCCAGCCACCGCACCCCTGGACCTCGCATGGAACTGTCCCCGAGTGCTCAGCCCCATCGTGCGGCAGAGGCTATGCACCCAGAGGAGGCTCCAACTATCCTACCTGCACAAGCTAAACTTTTGGGGGCCCACACTGCGGGCTCCCCATTTCAGGACACGAATATGGCTTTAGTGAAACATGGCCTGCCTGCTCTACCCCCACGCCCCCTCCCCTCCTGCCCAGCACGACCCCCATCCCGGCAGTGCTCCTCTAGGGGCTCCGGACCATAGCGGGGGCCCTGAAAAGCAGGACCCGCCCTCTGCCGCCAGGCCCCGCCCCCGCCCCTCCCCACCCTCCTCACATTGCTGGCCGCGTCGTGGGACTCCTTGAAGGAGAATCGGGCCCCGCTCTTGCTGTCCAGCTCCTGCCACTTGCCCTTGAACCACTTGATAGTGGGTTTGCCCGGGAGTTCCTTGCCGTTCACCTTGGCCACGATGATGGCATCCTTCCCTGCAGGGGGGTGGGGACGCCCAGGAGGGGGACCATGAGCTTTCAGATACGGGTCCTCCTCCCTCACTCCCAGGGGACCAGTCCCTGCCTCCCGCCTTGCACCCAGGGGTCCAGACCCTGCATCCCCCATCCCCCTCACCGGTCTCCACCGATACAGAGTCAGGCTTTTTCAGGAAAATGCCGGTGGGCTCCTCTGCTGTGGGGGACTGGTCCTCGGGCGGGGCTTCTGCGCAGGAGACAGGATTGGGAAGTGGGAGGTGGGCTGGGAGGGATAGCAGGCAGCTTTGAGGGCAGGGACTCAGAAGGCGCAGGGCACGGGGTGAAGCTCCTACGTCTCTGGGCTGAGGAAGAGCAGGTCCTGGACCGCAGGTCTCCTGGAAACCTGACCTACCCGGAGATGAGAGCTTGCACCCAGGCCCCCTCCAGGGGGCGCTAGAGAGTCGCGGGAGGCTGCGCAAGCGAGCAGCGCTCGTCCCTCTGTCGCGCTGCCGGGTCAGTTGCAGGACAGAGAGCAGGACTAAAGCGGTTCAGGTGCAAGGGGAGTAGGTGCAGGGGCCGTGGGCACCGGGGACGTGGCCGGTCGGCAGACTCAAGGAGGCCACTCACCTTTGGGGGGCTCCGCAGGAGCCTCCTTAGGAGGGGCTTCTTTGGGGGCATCTTTGCCTTTGGTGGCCTTTTTGGCAACTGTGCAAGAGGAGATAGTAAAAGTCCAGGCCTGCTTGACGGCCCCCTCTTCCAGGATAGGGGGTCCAGGCCTAGCCTCTTCCCTCTGCTCCAGAAAGCCCCCATCTTAGGTGTAAATTTATCTCCAACCCAGAGTCTGGGGTCAGGTTTCCCAGCCCAGGCTGGCCAGGGCCTAGCAGCCCAGGCTACCCAGCCCTGACCTTTTGGTTCCGGGAGTATAATTAGCTTTTCCCTTGGGCTGGAAACCAGACACCTTCTGCTGAGCCCAGCAGCCTTCCCCGGGATGCTGGCTTCTGGCCCAAGAGGGCCCAGTCATAGCAGGTATCTGGACCCTAACCCGAAAGTGGTTCACCTGCCACCTCGGGACCGCATACCTCACAAGGGTCGTGGGACCTGTGTCTGTCCTTCAGGCTGCCTCACAGAGAGAAAGCCTGATCCTCATATAAAGACCTGGCCTCTGGTCCCAAACAAGGTTCCCAGACTCGACAAGGAAAAAAGATTCCAGGAGACTGGGGATGTAGCTCAGCAGTGGAGCTGGCACCTGTGTGTGACCAGCATTACACACCCCCCAAAAAAATTTTTAAAGAAAGGAAAGGGAAGTAGGCCTCTTAATTCCTGTGTAAGGGAGCCCAGGTTGCACAGGAAGAGGGTTCTCATCCTTCTATGGACAAGATGGGAATCCTCAGCACCCCTCATCCTGCCCAACCTCTCCTAGTGGATGCCACCCCACAACAGAGGACCCCATCACTCTGCTGACTCCCCAGCCTGCACACAGGACCCTACCCCCATGTCGGACAGAGTACTCTAGTTTACAGAAACTCTCCATGTCTGCCGGAGATGTGGTCCCCAGACTCCCACACAGACAGTAACTCCCTCCCTGCGGTGGGAAGGGGCTATCCCCACCCTACACACACGAGGGACCTCTTCCATTGCTCCTAAGGAAGGGAGCCACCTCTGTGGACAGATAAGACACCCCATCCTCCCCAACCCACAGAGAGACAGGAGGCCCCGAGCCTCATACAGAAAGGGGGCCCTCATCCCCTCTGAGGCAGGGCCCGGAGCCACCTGGTTTGGCCTCAGGCATGTCCGCAACTTCCTCCCGCTGGGGGGACCAGACCACCGCAGCTGCAACTCTCCGGCCCTCAGGAGGACAGGTGGGGCCCACGGGGAGCGTTTTTAAGAAGTTAGGAGACTCCCAGGAGGCTCTGGGAGGCCCAGACCTCCGCCCCACATTCCGCCTTCACGCCCTAAAGGGCGAGAAATAACAGGTGGACAGAGACAGCTGAGTGCCTGGTCCCCAGGGAGGACAGGCTGGGGGGCTTGGCCACCTGGGTGAGGGAGGAGACGCTCCGCGGGACCCCAGGGGCCTGGGGAGCAGGGGTCTGCGTGCCTACACTCCTGAGTTTAGGGGCAAAGGAATGGGGAACCCAGATTTGGGGTTCAGAAGAGAGGGTGGAGGAGGAAGGAGGAGGGGGAAGGAAGGGGAGGAAGAAGGAGGTCGTGGAGCTGGAGGAGGGTGGAGGGAGGGAGGGGAGGAGGAGGGTGGGGAGGAAAAGAGGGAAGAGGGGGACGAGGAGGGAGGAGGAGGGCGAGGAGGGAGGAGGACGAAGGAAGGTGAAGGTGGGGGTTCCGGGAGGGGTAGACAAAGCGAGGGGTCTCGGGTGAGTGTAGCTGGCACGGGGAGGGGTTGGCGCGGGGAGAGACAGGGTCCGGAAAGGCACCATTCTTAGATCTGCAAGTCAGGAGTTTTCGGGAAACCGGAGCCGGGCGGGAGAGTCCGGTTTCCCCGCAGAGGCAGGACGGCGGGCGGGGGGGGGGGGACCGGGGCGCCGCGTCCCCGAGGCCTGGAGCGTGGCCCGGGCTGTAGAGCGGGGCGAAGGGGGGCACTGTGGTCCAGGCGGGGTCCGCCTGGGAAAGAACGCGGCCCAAGGGACCCACAGCGACGGCCAAGTGCCGCCACGAGCTCTTCCTCCGACTCTCCCGTCTTGCTCTCTGCCAAAATCCCCTACGAGCCGGAAACTTCCCCGCCTCCAGGGAAAATCTAGCCAACCAGGAGGCGGCTTTCGTGTGACGTCAGGGGTTGCCTGGCAGACCGCCCAGTGGCTCTCCCGGACCCCGCGAGGTTTTTGAGTGGCCAGTGCCAGCAGCCGCTAGCCTGATGGCTCAATACAGTGAGAGAAAAACAGAAAGACCTAAAGAAAAGAAGGTAGACACCCAAACAGAAGGGAAAACGAGGAAGAGGTGGGGAAGAACTGTAATTGGCCTCAAAGGGAAACAAAAATTAAAGACACTCCCCCCTCCGCCCTAGCCTCCTTCTCTGGATTCTTATTTCGGCGTTCAGTGCTCAGCCAGCTGTGGCCTGTGACCGGAATTGCCTCTCTGATCTCCGAGCTCATCTTCTCCTGGCTGTCATGATGGCTCATTGCAGCAACAGATTGTCGTCCCTGATAAAGGACACCTACACTTTTTGTACCTTTATTTCTTTTCTGTTTTTACTTCACATTTAAGTGATGATGACAACTTCTGCAGAGGGTACCTTCTTTGTAGGAGGAGGCCTGGGGAGGACGCTGTGTAGCCCCCCTTCTCCTGAGGGTGGGGCCCTGCATGGCCTCTGCCGCTTGCAGTCCTGGGCCAAGGAGTGGACCTCCCTCAGTCCTCCATGCCCTTTTCTCTCTCCAGGGGGTGGAGAGGTCTGAGCTGCTCGGCCTTTTGCTGTCCTTCTGCTCTCCCACTTTCCCACACAAACCAAACTGTGATCGGCCCACTCTTCCCCTAGCTGGCCTGGCTGAGTCCAGGGGTGCTGGGATCCACGTGACAGCTCTCACAATTCCTGCAGCACAAGTTAGGTTTGCACAGGGCTCAAGATGCAAATGGTCAGGGCCCAACTGGCAGCTGGGCCAAGCCCTGGGGCAGCCTGGAGAACAAATGCCCCATTATGAAGGCCCCTGTCTACCTCCAGCCTCTGCACACCCCACTGGGGCTGGATTGGCTGATTATGCAAAATCTCCCTATATCAAAAGGCTGGTAGCAAGACAAGGTTTTCCCTTAGAGTACTTAGGTGAATCTAAGAAGACATCACGAGGGACCTGAGTTCCCCACTCAGGATGAGGGGCTGACAACTAGGTTAAAAATTGCATGGTTGGGCTGGGGATATAGTTCAGCGGCACAGCGCCTGCCTGGCAAGCACAAGGTCCTAAGTTTGATTCCTGGTACAAAAAAATAGTCATACAGCCAAGGGTGGTGGTGCACACCTGTAATCCCAGCATTTGGGAGGCTGAGACGGGGGATTTCTGTGAGTCCAAGACTAGCCTGGGCTATATAGTGAGCTCAAGAAGTCGGGGATTTAGTTCAGCGGCTTAAGTGCCTGCCTGGTAAGCTCAAGGTCGTGAGTTCGATCTTTGGTAACAAAAAAAAAAAAAAAAAAAAAAAAAAAAAAAAAAAAAAAACCATAATGAGCTCAAGGACAGCTTGGAACACATAGCTGGACTCTGTCTCAAAATAAAAATTGCCATAGTAGGGGAGAGGCGGGCTGCCACAGAAATCGCCCAGATGTAACATCTTTGGTATGGGTATACAAAGGGCACGCCAGGAAGGCAAGGGATGCGCAAGAACTTGGGCTGCTTGGGGGTCTCTATGTGGCTGGACATCCCAAGTTTGACAACAGGGTCCCAGTTCTATCCCAGTTCTAAGTCTCACTGAGTCTCCACCCATACCCCGACCTAACAAGTCACTCCAGACATGGCCAAAGGATTCCAGAGGGACCCTAGCTGGGACTCCAGACACAAACAGCTGAAAGTATAGCGGTTCTAGAGAATGCGGGGACCTCAAAGATCACAAAAGGATCTAGGGGGACAGATTTGCCAAATCACAGAGGCACAGAGCACTGAGGCCACATCGGGCTCCCAGAGGGCCCCAGACATAACTAGGAGATCTCCAATCCTACGAGAACTCAGACAAGAGAGGATCCAGGTGCACTGACCCCTCCCCCTGTGTTGCAGAGGGCTAGGATTGCTGGCAGCGCTCTTCCTGGGGTAGTGATCTGTGGGTGCCCCCACCCTGGTGATGTGGAGGGTTCACGTACACACAAGGGACCTCAGAGGTTCCCGTCCTGGATGCAGAACCTTGGCTATCACAATGGGATCCCAGAGGCACTGGGGTTCTGGAAGCACCGCCCCCTACACACACACACACAACAGAGTAGTCCTTCGGGTCCTGCGATCCAAAACACCACGCTCCCGCGGATCCCATGCGGGACAGCGATTCCGGCGCCACCGGCCGCCCGGAGCTCGGCTCAGGCGCGGCGTGCGGCCGGCAGCAGCGCGCTGTCGAACTGGTAGGTGAGCTTGCGCTTGACCTTGCGGATCTCGCCTGTCTTGGCGTAGTTGCGCAGCGCGCGCGCCAGCTTCTGGTAGGTCATGCGCTTGCGGTTGCCCTTCTGCTGGCCCCAGCGGCGCGCCAGGAGCTCCTTGTGCTTCGAGGAGAACTGGAAGACGCCGGCGCCCGGCTCCACCCACCACACGCACTCGCGCATGTCGCCCCGCGTCAGCAGCCCCAGCAGGAACTGGTATAGGCGCAGCTTCTTGCGGGCCCCTGCAGAGGTGCGGGTTTACGTTAGGGGGCGCTCCGGGGACCCACCCCACCCCATTCCGGTGTCCCGGCCCAGACACGTGGGCGGGCGCAGGGGTGCAGGGGGTGACAGGTGCACCTGGCTCGGTCCCCAGCCCCGGGCACAGTGCGACTCCCTCCCAGAAGCTATTAGCCGTAGCCTCCTCCACCCGTCTCTCCCGTTTACTGCTCGGTGGCGGCGGCGAATTGCACCAGCAGCCCCTGTCAACGCCAATGGCAGCAACCTCCGCGGAGCCTGTAGCTCCGGAGTGGGTGTGGATCCCTTTGGCCGCTTCTGCAGGGTCTCAGAAGATGCCAGGGCTGCAGAGTGGCACTGGAGACCTGAACCCCACCTCTGCCCTTTTCCCTAAAGCCGTGTGACCTTGGTGGGGCAGTCCGACCCGAGTCTGCTGGGCCATAGAGAAGATTATGTGCGCGCGTGCGCGCGACTGTGGGAGACCCCTGCTGGAGCTCACCGTCCTATCCCAGGAGACAGGGACGATGGTGGATGGGAAACCGAGGCCGGCTAGGGAAATCACTGTGACGGCCATCCCCTTGTGCGGACTGGAAACCGAGGCACAGAGGACAGGGCGCTTCTCCAAGGCCGCGCAGCCTTCAGAGTTGGGAAAAAGAGTGGCCCCTCCCACATTGCCCAGGGTCCCTCCCATCCCCCCACCTACCTGCCTCAGAGCCCCTCCTCTCAGGGCTGCTCCAGAGGGCCTCGTCTGACTCGCTGTCGGAGACCTCCAGGGCGGGGCTGTCCAACAGCAGGTCCTCCTCCTCCGACAGCGCCGGGCTGGGGTACGGGGCGTACGCCAGGGGGCCTAGGGTCTGCGGGAGGCCAGGGTCACCTTGCATCCGGGACCGTTTCCTCCCCCTCCTCCTTGCTTGTCAGCGGCCCTCCCCACTCAGCCTCCTGGCTGCGCATCGCTGCCCGGGACCTGCGTGTTCCTGCCCTGTGTGCTCTCCGCACCAACCAGGCGGATCTGGCTGCGGGCTCTGGTCTGGGAACGCCCTGCAGCCACGGGAAGTGGGAAGCTTCCACTCGGGGAAGTGGCCGGGGCCACGGGTTTGGTTGTAAGCTGCATTGGGTGGACGTGGACGTAGATGTCTTCCTGGTCCTCACCTGGCCAGTGAAGTCCTCCGTGGGGTATGTGAGGAGGCTGAGCCCAGGGGTCTCCAGGCTGGGGGTAGGCTCGAGGGTCCCCACGGGGCTGTAGGCAGAGGGGCCGTAGCAGAGCTGGGCGGCCTGGGGGTGGCCAAAGGTGGTTGCTGCCGGGTCGAAGACTTCATAGGGGGTGGCCGAGACAGGCGGGGCCTCAGTCCAGCCCCATAGGGAGTCTGGGGAAGGATACCACAGAGTCAGAAGCCCTTCCCACCAGAGCTGGCACAGAGGGACCATTGTGAGCTGTGCAAATGTCCAACCCCAGGATTTGCATGAAGAGCAGGTGGGTGGGAAAGGAAAGGGAGGTGCCTGGGCTGCCACCGGCTCTGGCTGTGCTAGGTGAGACCACTCCTTGGGTCTCAGCTTCCCCACCTGAGAAATGGGCCCAAGGTCCAGCCATGGTCACTCACCGGGAGCCCCCTCTGAATCAGGGTAGCTGGAGTGCTTGCAGCTGTCCAAGTCATAGAAGATGCCATCTGGACACTGCTGGGGGGTGGGACAAGGTCACCTCAGGCTTTGGAGCCCCCTTCCTCTCCAGACCTCAGGGAGACTCCCACAGAGATGGGAAAGGAGAGGAGCAGCTGAGGAGAACACAGAGACAGAAAGAGACAGAGAGACCAAGACAGGGCAGGAGAGATGCATGGAGCCAGATGCTCTGGAGAGGGAGACGGTAGCCAGCTCCTGGTCAGCAGGCCACGGTGCCTGCCAGGGTGGGTGTGGAGGGATCCCAGCTTGCCTTTTATAGCAGTGGGGTCCCAATGCTGCTGCTTTTCTTTATTTGTACCCTAGGCTGGCTTTAAATTCACAGAAGCCCTCCAGCCTCAGCCTTACAAGTACAGGCGTGTACCACCACACCCAGCTGCTGATGATTCTTAAATCTGCCTCCCTGCTGGTCTGCTTCTTGTCAAGAATCATGTGTTGTTTTAGTCATGGAAGTTCAGAGACTGATATAGGTCTGTACCGTCCCTCCAGCCCAGTGGTCTCTTCCTGTTTACCCAGGAAAGCTGAAAACATTATGTCTGCAGGAGCCTGAGCCAAGAATCATTCGAGTAGCCCTGTTAATGGCTCCAACCTGGAGGCAGCTGAGGTGTACAAAAGTAGGAGGCAGGAGAAGCAGACTGGTATGATCAGCAGGTGGAGTACTACACAGCAAGGAAGAGCAACAGACTGTTGAGAGGCCCAGTGGGACCCACTGCATAAGTAACTAAATTTAAAGTTCAAAAACAGGCAAAAGCGGGGCATGCTGGTGCACACTAGAGATCACAGCACTCTGGGAGGCTGAGGCAGGAGGATCAAAAGCTGGAGCTCAACCTGGGCAATAATGTGACCCTGGCTCCAAAAAGGGGTAAGAGGGGATGGAGCTGTCTGTGGTGTGAGAGCCCTGGGTTCAATCCTCAGCACCACAAACTTCAAAATCAGCCGATGGTGCAAAATGCCCCAGTGGGGGTTGTCTGCAGGAAGGGAGGGAAAGTTCTAGAGAGCGATGGAACATTCTGGGTCTGACCAGTGCCCACACAGCCAGGTACACAATTTGAAAACTCCCGGCTATGCACATAAGCAGTCACTGTTTCTGGCTTGGGAGTTGTACCTCAAGAGAAAAAGAAAACCCAAACCAACCAACAAGTCCAATGTGGTGAGCACCTGTAATTCCAGGTGTTCAGGAGGCTGAGGCAGGAAGATGGAAAGTTTGAGTCCTGCCTGGGTAACTTAGCAAGATCTTGTCTCAAAATAAATTTTAAAAAAAATGAATATAGGGAACATAGCTCAGTGTGAAGGCGCTGGGTTCAATCCTTAGTACTACAAAAAGTACAAGAAGAAAGAAGGGGAAAACAATCCTTTGTTGAAAAAAACCCAGCAAAACCAGAGGCCAGGAGGGGGTATCTCCCGAGGATTATCTACTGTGGGGGGGGGCTTGGGCTCCGGGAGGCTGTGCCTAGTTTCCTGTGTGTCTGAAATACTCCAGGATGAAAATTTTAAAAGTCTGCCCCTCCTCCACCCCCAAAACCGAGGGAAAGGAGGGTTACATGTGGGACAGAGACGCAGGGTCCCAAGGAACAGTCTCAGAGCCCAAGGGGGAGATGCCAGAAGAAAGAAGACCTGAGATGAGCAGGGCAACAGGAAGGGGAAACTGAGTCAGGGAGCAGGGACCCACTCTGAGGGAGCTCACAGTGGGCGTAGGGGCCCCTCCCACCCCTCACTGGCCCTGGGAGCCTCCCTCGACTCACCAGAAAGCTGAAGTGTGGCCCGTCGAGCCTGGAGGGGGAGAGACGCAGGGGCATGTCAGGGCCGACCTCAGCCACCTGGGCTGGCGGGAGGAGGCGGCAGCTGTGACCACAGCAGCTCTGCAGGCTGCTGGGTGTCCCTGCGTGAGAGCAACCCCAACACCGGGACAGGAAATGGGGGGCAAAGGCCAGGCAAATGTCCCCCCCTCCTCGGGATTTGCATAGATAGACTTGGGGGGAGGCAGGGAAAGTGAGGGGGAGAAAGTCCCCCGGGAGGAGGTGAGGGCATGGTGGAGGGCCAGGCGGCAGCGGGCATCTTCACAATGGGCCCAGCAGGAAGCGAAGGAAGGCACAGACCCCAACATGGCACAGGGAGGCAAAGGTATTTCTGGGGCCCCAGGGGTGGAGACAGGACTGAGGGGCAGGAGAGGGAGCCAAAGGTCAGAAAGAGGACGGAGACTCATGCAGTGAAGACACAGAGATGGAGATGGGCCACCCGAGAGGCTAGGGGCAGAGGAGCAAGCAGGTGTCCCCTGGAAATGGACCCTTGGGGACCTGGGGAGACCAGGCTGGGAGGAGGGTGGAGGCCAATGGGGGCCCTTCCATCCCACCATCTGGCCTTGGGTGGGGCAGACTCCCCCCAGGCTGAGGGATGGGGGGCAGAGTGGGCAGGGGTCCTGGGCAGCTGGGGGCACTTACTGTGTAGCCTCCAGAGCGAGCATGGTGCTATGGGGTGCTGGGCTTGCTGTGGGGCTGCAGCCACCACCCCTATATATACCTTGGCCCAGCCCCGGGGAGGGGCAGGGGTGCTAGGCCCTCCTCAAAAATCCCCTCGGGGAGGGGGCTGGATTGCACAACGCTGGTCACGTGTCAGAGAGGGCGGGCCTGGCTTCAAGGATTTGGGGATCCCCACAGTTGGGGGCAGGAATGGGGGGCTGACCCCGAGGGGTGGAGATGGCTCAGGAGCTGGATTTGGGGGAAGACCCTGGAAAAGGAGGGGCCAAGTTGACGCTAAGGTTAAGAACAGGAAAGCAGGGCTCAGGTGGGCTATGCTGCCAGTGACCAAAGCAGCAGGGGCCTGGGGACAGCTGAGACCCCTGGGGGCTGCTCTGGGACACTGGGCCAGGGGAAACCCAAGCCGACAATGACCCTCCGGACCCCAGGTGGAAACATCTGTGGGCGTGACACGCGGGGGGGTCCCCGCCACCTGCACCAGCTGGGGAGTAGAAGACTCCTGCCCACCAGGGGCTGCCCCAGGCCCATCGGAAGCAGGCAGCATCTGGCTGGAGGGGCAGCCACCAGGCCCCCAGGGAGGCCTGACACCTGAGCAGGGCAGACAGCTGTGCAGAGATGCCCACTCTGTGGCCTGATGGATGGGCCAGAGGGAAACTAAGGCAGATGGGGCTGGTGAGTGCCTGGCAGCAGAGACTGAAACCTAGGGATCTCTAGGGAGTGAGGAGGTGGGCGGGCACCTGGGGGTGGAGGCCACACCAGGCTCATAACATTGGACCTTGTAGCCTGGTGTGGTGCTACATTCCTGTCACAGCACCCAGCTGGAGAGGCTGAGACATGAGGGTACCGAGTCTGAGCCCAGCTTAGGCCACTTAGTAAGACCCCCATCTCAAAGAGGTATAAAAAGGGCTGGGGTGCAGCTTTGTGTGGGGGGCCCTGCTTTCAGCCCTCACTGATGATAAAGTAAACCTGTGAACTCTCCCCCCAGACACCACAGAGCACTGGGTAACAAAAGGCCAGCATTTTATTAACCCAGAGGGGGCTTCTGGTCACCAGGCCTCAGGCCCCGGAGGCCCAAAGCGGCGCAGCAGCTTCTCCTGGTCCTCCAGGTCCTTCCGCACTTTCTTGCGCATGTAGAAGATGGGGCAGTCCCTGCTGCAGAGCGGGTGTGGTCAGGATGGCCCGACTGGTGCCCAGCGGGGGCTGAGCGTACCATCCCCAGGGCAGGGGCCGTTCCCAGGACTTTGCCCCCACCTGCTGCCCACCCTCCTCCTGTAGGGGCTGTTTGCTCAGTAGGCACAGGGGGGCAGATAACAGCGGTGCCTGGTGAGGCACTGGTGGCCGTATATCACCTGTCACCTGGCGTGGGAACCCGCCCCGCCCATCTGTTCCCTGGGGAAAGCCTGGCCCCACCCTGGGGGGAGCGGCTGGGAGCCTGGCCAGCTCTGGACCAACTCGAGACCCTGCCCCAGGCTACAGGTGGGGACTTGGGGGAGGCCAGTCCAGCAGGGCCCCTGGAACTGGGTCCCCAGCCTGCAGCCCTGAGGCAGGGAGGGCTGAAATGGGTACCTACCTGGTGCAGATGACGTCCTCGTGCAGGCTGCCCTGGCAGCGCTGGCACTGGGTCCAGAGGCGTGTGAAGCGTTCCTCCAGGGCGTTCAGGTGGGACACCTGGGGGGCTGGGGTTCAGTGGGCTGTCCACACCCCCACCCCCACCCTGGGCTACCCAGTATCCCACTTACCTCTTTCTGGTACAGCTCCGACTCCCGGGGCTGGCAGAACCTGCACACAGCTCCTGGGGGCGGTTAGCACAGGGGCAATGGGGCCGAGCCAGGTCTGGCCACCCCACCCTGCCCCTTCCCCGCCCGCTGCCCATCCCGGCTGTGAAAGTCCCCAGAGGCCGGAGAACAAGGGAGCGAGTGTCTGAGGAAAACTCCCCTGGGGAAGTCCGGGTGGGCAAGGACCCTCGGGTCGGGGCATGGGCAGCCTTGGGGTCTCACCCTCGTGACTAAGCACCGTGCGGCAGCCGATGCAGCAGCTGCGGCGCGTGGCAAAGGCCAGCAGGCCGCCCACCTTGCCCGTGAGCACTGTCTTGCAGCGTGTGTGGTCACCACCTGCGGGAGGAGGCTGGAGTGAGGTGGGGGCCCCTGTGACCCCTAGGCCCGCCCTGCCCAGGACCCTGACATACGCAGCAACACCGCCTCAGCACGGCCCTCGCCCAGGATGGGCTCAAAGATGCGCAGCAGGGGCTTGGCGAGCTGCTGCTCCAGGTAGTACTGTGTGTCGATGGGCAGGCTGTGCTCCAGCACGAACAAGGGGTCCTATGGGCCAGGCCTGTCATGTATGGTGGCCCAGGGGTGTGCCCGGGGCCCGAGGTGACGAGTGAGTGGGGCAGTGCTGGGCGCGGGTGCCACCCCGAGGCTGCCATGTGGCTGGGAGGGGTCAGAGGTCATGGGAAGCTGGCTGCTCTGTGCCCCATGCTGGGGATCGGGACACCAGGAAGGGTCACTGTCCTGGAAGGAGGCCAGGCTGGAAAGGGCAGTGCGGGGTCACGGCCAGGCTGGGCACGGAGGGGCTGGGCAGCATTGGGACAGAGACCTGAGGCAGAGGCTTTGGGCGGCTGGGGAGGAAGGAGGTGCCCTCGGGCGTGCTGGGGCCTGGCCCGCCCACCCTGGAAAGCAGAAGTGAGAGCCCAGGGCGGGCACTGGGCGGTGCAGGTCCAGGTGGGCCTCACCTCGGACTTCATGTAGGCGGCCACACCCTTGGCAGCGCCGATGATCACGTAGGGGACGCGGTCGCCCAGGCTGGGTGCACTGCCCGGGTCCCGCTTCCTCATCCTGCAGGGACAGTGAGACAGGTGGCAGGGTGAGGGCCAGGGGCCGGGGTGTGGGGCATGGGTGGGGGCAAGCACTGGGCACCGACCTCTCAGCCAGCTCCACATGGGCCTGCTTGCCCGAGTAGTCGGCCGCGGCACGCGTCAGCTCCTTGGTGATCACCAGCTGGGAGATGTCGATGCGGTTGCATAGCAGGTCTGAGATGATGTCCTTGGCATGGGCCACGGCGCCCTCGGGGTCTCTGGGAAAGGCAGCAGTGGTGTCACCAGTGGGCACAGAGGTCCAGCTGGAAACCTAACCCAGCCCTGGGGCCAGGGAAGCAGAGGAAAGGGTGGTGGTGGCAGCCACAGGCGAGCAAGGCAGAGTCTGTGCCACAGCTGTGTGACCTCACTCACCACGGCCTCCCCTCTTCCCTTCCTGTCCGGAGGCAACATCTGCATGTTAGGGGCTGGGAGGGCTCGAGGCACCAACTGTGGGGCCCAAAAGAAGGCTCGTCCCAGAGCCTGGGCCCAGGGAGGAGGAGGCTGGGCCTGGCCCCGTCGGGCCTACACACCGGTCAATGAGCAGGCGACGCAATGAGGCTGTGACCAGGTTGGCCACGAGCGGGCAGTTGTCCCTGCGCACAGCCTCCAGGCCCTTGCAGTCCATGCGGTCGTGGCTGTCGGGCCGGGAGGAGAAGAGCAGGCCGGCATAGCGCTTCTTGCTGATGAGCAGGTAGGGGAAGTAGACCTGGCAGGGACAGGCAGCGACAAGCCCTGAGACTTGGGGGTTCGGTCCCCATCCTGAGACTTTTCCCAGAAACAGGACAGGCAAGAAAGGCCCCCAAGACACAGGGCTGGGACACTCAGGGAGCTGGAGCCGATGGAGAGGGACCTAAGGTGGTTCCTGACTGCCACCTGCCAGGTGCATCCGGATGGGGAGGCAACAAAGATCCCCTCAGAGAACAGAGATCACAGCCCCCCACACCCGTAGGCCCTGCACTGGGGTGCATGTGAGCCATGGGGAAGAAGGTGGGGTGTGATTCTGAATGAAGCCTCCTGGCCTGGGGCTGGGCCCCCCACGGATGCTGCTATATCCACTGTTACCAAGGCTGGGGCTCTGGAGTCCTCAACCCCAAACTCAGGACGCCAAGCCATAGGTTCCTGACCCTGGAGGAGAGAGGCCTGGGGGACTGACCTGAATACCTGGGACACGGAAGACATGAGCAACTGGGGGATCCCCAGCCAGTGCACCTCCCCTGTGGGGCAATCTGGGACCGGCAAACCCCGCACACCTTCTCGAACTCCAGCCGGATGGGCGGGGGGAAGTGGCTGGACACCCAGCTCGCGGCCTCACGCCCCAGGTCCATTGCCTCAGCCACGGAGGAGACGCCGAACCGGCACATGACAGAGTCAGTGTCACCGTACACCACCTGGGTGGGGATGGGAGGGTCCCTCATGCCAGCCGGGGTCTGGTGCTGGAAGTGCCCAGGACACGCAGGGCCGGGCAGGCTGTGCTGGGAGGCAGGGACTCTGGGCCACAGACCCTGGAGCCCTCCCCAAGTCTCTCCGGGCCTTTTTGGGGTGGCCCTCACCTTGGCATCAGCGCTGTAGCCATTGGCCACCGTGTACTTGGACTCCACCAGCTGCTTGGTTTTCTCGATCATCTGACGTCCGAAGCCTGTGACGCTCTGTGGGGTACAAACCCAGGGGCAGGTGTGTGGTCATGAGGGGTCCTCCCGACACTCATCAGCAGTGGGGGACCCAGCTGCTCCTGAAGGTCTGTGGGGTGCATGCGGGTCCGACCCAGAGTCCAGGTGGAGGCTGCCTGGCCCGAGAACCATGGGGAGGCTGTGATTCTCGAGGCCGGGGCACATGCATGATGGCAACAGTACTCTGTGTCTGGACCACAGACATCGCTGTCCTCCTCCCGCTTCTACAGTGACAGAGGCCCTCGAGGCCATGGGGCTGGGCACCATGAGCCTGGGCCTGATTCTTCCGTGTGGATCCGTCAGATGAGTGTCACCTAACCAGGATATTTGCTCCGCCCATGCTTAGTTCTGAAATCCGTATCTCTGCTGTCCAGT